ATCTATCTATCTATCTATCTATCTATCTATCTATCTATCTATCTATCGATCTTTCTCTCTCTCTTTCTCTCTATCTATCATCTCTCTCTATCTTTCATCTAATTTATCATCTATCTATTTTTTTATGTTTAATACAAACAGTCCATCTTCCATTTAATGGTGTGTCATCTGGGTACAAATATCTTGTGCAATAATGATTAAAGTTTCCAAGCATAATCATTTACCTTAATATTAATTCAATACTCTTAGCTTATTACTAACGTACCTAATATATCTAAATTGTTATAACCATCCTCATCTCAGTTAATAAACTCCGATGAACATATTGTCCATATTTCACAGGTCTTCTTTTATTGCTAACTCTCATCTTTCGTCTCCAACCATCGATAAAATGACCCCCACACCATTACAATATTCAGTTTGTTCTTTCTCTTTTAATTGCCAGCGTTAATCTAACGGTTCTAATATTTTCCTGATCACACGCTCACCGGCTCCAACTTTCTGTGGTTTAAGGAGAGTCCAACCCTCCCTATCTCATTTCAAACCAAGGCTTGTCGTCTAATCTCTTCTTCAAAACTTCCAGGGATGGAACATTCAGGACTTCAGGCCAGTCATCTGATGGATTCATTTTACGACCGTTATTGACTCATAACCCTGATAGGCTGGCTCCGTGACGGTCCGCAACCATAAACTAGCTGTAAATCTTTCCAGGATGCTGCCTTAACCTTCACCCCATCCCGTCACGCTTAATCCAGCCCAAGTAAACCATCTTGGAGAAGAATTGCCCCATAAAACCCATTTTATTGACCGAATAATCTCTTTCCCATCAGGACGGTTTCGTTTTTTTTGGGGGGGAGAGGTGGGGGTAGGTGTTTTTTATGGCGCTCAGCGGCTCCCGCCCACCAAAGGCGGAGAGAGAGCAGAACAAGACATGTAAGAGTTGCAGAAGTACAAAAATAACTTTATTTTTAAGGGAAGGGATGGAGGAGAGGAGGAAGTCCGAAACAGCCCCGGGGAGAAGAGAAAATGGCTCCATGGGCAGGCAGGGAGTGGAGGGAATGTGCGAAACAAACGTGGCAAGAAGAAGGCTAACTTTGTGTGGCAAAAACCAAACATTTCTTCCTGCCCTTGAGCCAAAAAGTACAGCTTCCACCTTTTGTTGGGCTTAGTTCTTATCAAACTAACTTTTACGGTCCAAAAAGTAAGCCGAGCGTGCGATAGAACCCATCCGAGTGCGGTTTTATTCCATGATACCAACAAACTATGATGAAGGAAACAATGGCTTAGGGTAAAGGTGTGAATGCAGTGACTGAGAAGGAGACTTTGTTTCCAGGATCGTGGCTAGCTCATTTCTCTCTCTCTCTCTCTTTCTCTCATTCTGCCAGTCCTGAATTGTATGGAGATGACCCGGAAGTGACTACGAACAAGAGGTTGTAGGAGGCCACAACAGGAAGACCAGGATGGGTCACCACCAGGTGACCAACGGTGAAGAGAACGGCCGGTTCTCACTTAGCAACCAGAGCAGGCGACGTTAAAACAGATCTCGCAGGTCTCGGGGTCGCTGGCAATGCGGTCTGAAGACAAGGAAGACGAGATGGGTTCAAGAAGGCTTCCTCAAACTCAACAATGTTCACCTGGGCTACTTCAACCTGAAGAAGTTACTAGAGGTTGCCCGAACGCTTTACGCCACCCAACCTATCGACCATCTATGAGTAGCACCGAGCAGTTATAAATCATTAGAGAGGAAATCCGTAGAAAGGGACTCCGGGTAACTCAGGGTTGGACTGTGGGACCCCTCGGTGCTCTCTGAGACATCTCATGACCCAACTAGGCAATGTTATCAGTGCTAGAAGGGAGAGGGGTTGGTGGAAGGGAGGAGGAGGAGGAGGAGGAGGAGGAGGAGGAGGAGGAGGAAAAAGACTGTGGGGTCCTTAGTGCTCTCTGAACTTGGTTCTGTACTTGCAGACGTTTCTTGACCCAACTAGGTAACATCATCAGTGCTAGAAGAGAAGGGGCTTTCCTATATAAGTGACATGTCCTGACAATGTTTGTGTGAGTAAACAACAGCCTCATTAAGGATCTGCCAAGTGGACTCTCCCCAACACTAACAGCCAAGCCACTTGTATATAAATGGAAATCAAACCTCATTCCCTCCTCGCACTGTTGATGTTACCTAGTTGGGTCATAAAACGTCTGCAAGTAAACAACCAAGATCAGAGAGCACCAAGGACCCCACAGTCCTCCTCCTCCTCCTCCTCCCACTGATGATGTTACCTAGTTGGGTCATGAAACGTCTGCAAGAAAACTCCGAGAGCACCAAGGACCCCCACAGAAAGTAAATTGTTTTTAGTCTAACGAAAGTAGTTTAAAAGGAGAACCTGGCTATTTTTCTTTCAATCCCAAGGGATTTCCCCCCATTTTTTAAAAAATGTTCTAAACCACAGCCAGGGAGGGTAGACACGCGTTAATGATTTTCTCTTGAGCCATTTCCAGACTCTGAATCTCCAGAGAAATCCGCAGAGAAGCCTTGAAGTCCTTCCCTGATGTTCCTCAGAGACCTCAAGAGGACTAGGGGAATGGCAGGGTTAAAATGACCAGGAAGTTAGTGTCAGTTGGTCATCAAAGGCAAAAAATATCTTCCCCAAAAAGGAAGGATGTTCAGCAATGCCTGAAGGAATGGTGGCAAAATTTCGACAGAAGTTGAATGAGCGTCTCTTGGCGATAAAACAGTTGCAAACTTCTGCCCCGGGGGGCTGGGGCGGGGTCAAGGGTGGACTAGATGACCTCCAGGCTCCCGTGCAACCTGTCTTTTCAATGATGATGGGGAGGATTCTTTGGGGGGGGGGAAGGACGTGCAACCCCCGCCCCTCCAAACCTGAGGTCCTAAGTATTTAAGAATTTGTCTTCCAGATTGCTGCGGAATCTCTCCGCTCAGTGACGTGCAAACAGCCAAAATCACGTAACTTTGGGAGCCATGAATCAGGATGGCCAAATGACCATCGCTAGGCTCACACCTCAGGGGGACAAAGAGTCCTCGACTTATGACCTTTTAGCAAGCGAAGGCAACGAGGAAGCCAGATTCACTTAACAGCCAAATTCTATATTCTATATATTCTATATATTCTATATTCTAATCTATTCTACTATGCTATTCTATATTCTATATATTCTATATTCTATTCTATATTCTATATATTCTATATTCTATTCTATATTCTACATTTACATTCTATATTCTATATTCTATTCTATATTCTGTATTCTATTGTATATTGTATATTCTATTCTATATTCTATTCTATATTCTGCATTCCATATTCTGTATTCTAAGTAAGATCGGTCCTCGTTTGTGGGAATCAAAAGGTCCTTCCCTTTTTGGTGCATAAAATACAGGTGGTTGCCGACTTACGACCTACAAGTGAGCGCCAAATTTCTGTTTGCTAAGCAGGTTTTGCTCTCTGTTTTACACTGCTGAGTGAATCCCTGCTGTTCTCGAATTGGTCACCCTGTGGTTAAGTGAATTGGGCTTCCCTGTTGGCTTAGCTCACAGCGACCATCATCAATGCGAGACACTGGCCAGTCACACCTGGATTTTAACCACCCAACCCTGGGGAGGCTACAACTGTCAAAAGTGTGGGAAAAAAATCACATTTTTCAGTGCCGTTGTAACTCCAAACGATTTAGCCTGTCCGGTACTAATTTAACAACGCCAGTGATTCACATCACAATGGGAGCGAGCAGGGTCATAAAATGAGGCAAAACTCACTTAATGGACATTTCACTTAGTGACATAAATTTTTTTGGGGGGGTCCCCAAATGTCGTGACTTGAGGACTGCCCGCATTCCAACGGAGCTCCGTTGAGGTTAAACTCAGTCAGGGCCGTTTTACCTACCGAGAGTCCGGAATACTTCGGCGCCCTTCGGCGAGGAGCAGAGAGGCACGAATTCACGGGGGAGTTCGGGGTGCAAGCACACGGGTGCCGGTCCCCGGTTACGGGGACGTGGGTTTTGGGGTGCCACATCCAGGACTTTCTTCAGGGCCTTGACCGAATCCCAGGAGAAGGACAAGTTTTGGACCTGTGTGGGATAAGAAGAGGAAAAACAATGTATTTCGGGCTTCTCAGAAAACTCCAGAGATGGTGCATGCCCGCCCACAACTTCTGGAGGCAATTGAATTGATTTGGGGTTAGAGAATGACAGAATGGCAGAATTGGATGGGACCTCGGAGGTCTTCTAGTCCAACCCCCTGCTTAAGCAAGAGACCCCCTGTACCATTTTGGTCAAATGGTTGTCCAATGTCTTCTTAAAAACCTCCAGTGATGGAGCCCCCACAACTTCTAGGGGAAAGTCATTTCCACTGATTAATTATTCTTATTATCAGGAAATTCCTCTTTAATTCCAGGTTGCTTCTCTCCTTGGTTAGTTTCCAACCGTTGCTTCTTCTTCTCCTGCTTTCAGGTGCTTTGCAGAATAAACTGACCCCCACCTCTTTTTGGGGGGGCAGCCCCTCAAATACTGGAAGGCTACTACCATGTCACCCGTAGTCCTTCCTTTCATTAAACTAGATCTACCCAATTCCTGCAACCTTCATGAAAGTTGAAGTTCTCCAGAGAGAGAAAGAGAGAGAGAGATGATAGAGATGACAGACAGACAGACAGACAGACAGATGATAGAGAGAGATGATAGAGATGATAGATAGAGATATGGTAGATAGATGATAGATAGGTGATAGAGAGAGATGATAGAGATCATAGATAGATAGATAGATAGATAGATAGATAGATAGATAGATAGATAGATAGATGATAAAGATAGATGATAGAGAGATGGTAGATGATA